TATATGGTTTGGTGAGGTAAATATCATTTCTATGTTCAGATATCAAACCTATTTTTTTAATGAGGCCAACTGACAATGAAACATCTTTTTACGTATATATTCATCAGCGGAAAAAATGAGGATTCTTCATGCTCTTTGTGGGAAACTTCTCACTCTTGTTTCTACTCGAGACTTCATTGAAGACTCTGTTGATATATTACGACAAACAAAACAAGAATTCAGAGAATTAAAAGCAGAACAGCATCGCAGAGAAAGAGGAGCTGCAGCAGCAAAGTGAGTTCAAACATGACCAAGAGAAAGCAAAATTGTAACCCTAGAAAGTAATTTTTCTGCAAAAGGTTGACAGGGCAACCTATGGTAATTATAATAATCTTTATAATAATTTACAGTTTGGTTTAGAAAAGCATTTAATGCTAAAGTTAGTTTGCTTTCCTTTATTTCAGACAGTTTATAATAATGTAGTCAATATGTTTAATATAAAATTTAGTTATGTAGTGATATTTCTAGAGATTTCAGCATGTGCAAATGCATTTAAGAATGCAGAGTATATTGGTATTTCTGATGTTCCACAGTAGGCAAATGTGCTCAGACGAAATAACTGAAAATAATGTATGTTGAGTAATAAATTAGTATGTTAAGTAATAAATTAATTATGCCATCTAACTTCAGAATCCGCAGAAGAAAAGAAGAAAGATTGAAAGGGCTGGAACAAAAGATGAAAGAGAAACATGAGAAACTGAAAGAAGTAGAGAAAAATCCTGCAATTGAACTGTCTATTAGGTATCATCAATTGTTACTTAAGGTTCATATGCCACTATGCTGCTGCTTTAACTGAATGCTTAGATATGCTTCTCTTAATCTATACCAGTGGTTCCCAGATTTTTCAACATCAGGCCCTTTTTTTATTTTTTTTTTAGAAAATGTCATACCTGCTCATTTCTTATTTAAATAAATTCCCTTTTAACAAAAAATACAAAAATTAAAGCTCTAAATTTTAAAACTTGATAGACCTTTTTAATTAAAAAAATAGGCACCATTTTTATTTTTTCTTATACGGGTAATCCTCGACTTACAGCCATTCATTTAGTGTCTGTTCAAATTTTCAGTAGTACTGAAAAAAGTGACTTAGGACTGTTTTTTACACTTATAACTGTTGCAGCATTCCCCACAATCATATGATCAAAATTTGGATGTTTGGCAACTGGTTCATATTTATGACAGTTGCATTGTCCTGGGGTCATGTGATCACCTTTTGCGATCTTCTGACAAGCAAGGTTAATGGGGAAGGTGGGTTCACTTAACCATTTAACTAACTTAACAACAGCAGTGATTCACTTAACACCTGTGGCAAGAGAGGTTGTAAAATGGAGCAAAAGTCATTTAACTGTCTCACTTAGCAACAGAAATTTTGGGCTTAATTGTGGTCGTAACTCGAGGACTACCTGTAACAAAATTTAATAAAGACATTCAACCTAAAATAACAAATATATTTAAATTTAATGTGAAGAATATTTTCTTCTTAATCAGTTGGAAAATCTAGGTTTAAAATATCTATGTGCACAACATAAATTATTTTAATATCTAATTTCTTTGCTTCGTTTTTTTGTTAAATTTTTTTTTTACGAGATATATGGAAGAAAAAGACAATACTGCTTTTCCAACCTTTGGGTAAACCAAAAAATCTAAAATTCCTCTAAGCTTGAATTTTTCATATTAGCTTTCTCATTCAAATCATGTTTAAACATATCTAGTGCTGAATCAAACAACAACACTGCATGGATTGTGTACTAATTTATGAATAGAAATGACTGAAGATTTATCTGAAATTAACAGATAAATTCACCTTTGTTGCAGTGAAGCACGATTTTATTCTTCATACCCTTTATATATCTTGTTCAAATTATGGTACTATAATTGCATTAAAATCACAAAAAAACCAGCTTTCGTTGCTTGACATATGAGATCTTTGGTAAGATCATTGTGACAGTTCATTGAATTTCCAAAATGTAAAATTTCTAACAACATTTTTTTGCTATTGTTACTTAGTACCATCACAATTGCTTTCAGCAAATTTCAAAGAAGTTGCTCCTGCACTAGATGCCTTCTTAGCTGTATGTAATAACAGTTCCTAAGAAGGTTCTGATACTT